TATTAGCACGCATAAAGCGAAGTTATTTAGACAAACTGGTAAGCTGGAGGATTTCAGTCCACTCATTTCTCGAGTTTTCGTTATGAGTCGACTCAAGTCTTTCGTTTAATTTCTTTATTCCACTTTGAAGCAGTTTGAGTGTAAAAGAACGATATCATCCTATTTGACAATATTCAAGGACTGAGCCACTCTCATCTTTAGAGTTAAAGAATCACTATTTGATACAAGCTAGTAGGGTGTGATAATGATGCAGAGGGAAGTAGACTAGTGAACATTTTAGTACTAATTAAATTACGATTGGTGGTTGGTTTGACATATTTATTTATATTTATTTCAAATGGCAGGCGTTATGATAGGTATCATTAGCCCTTTAGTTGACTTCGTGCTTCACAGAAAGGAAGAGGAACACCAAAGTGGCAAAAAGTCGAGAGGGGGACAGAATAATGATTCACAGACGTAAAAGAGACAGACAGACACAAAGGTAGAAAAAAGGTGAGTACTGTGGAATTAGTAGAAAATGAAATGCGGTGGGGTCTTGGTAGTTTGAAGTGAGAAGTCAACTGTCAGTTAATAGACATTTTTGCCATATGAGTATACGTTGCCCAGAGTGCACCACGTGGAGGTAAGTCTATTGCACACCCCTGGTTTGACATATAAGGAAATAAACAACAGATGGAGATGAGGGGAAGAGAGCTTAGCAGGTGGAGTCTTTGAAAATCTGAATGTCACAGGTAACGACAAACACAACATGGACTAATGATTTCCATACTTGGGCGTCATAAAACTAGCTAGAACTAAATTTTTTGCCTATCATATGGAAGCATATCCCATTTGAAAAATCTGTGAATGGCACTCTTATTTAAATTGCAGTTCTGTCCAAACGTTTACATTAAGTGAATTGTCCCCATTGATAAATGACATTAAATAAATACCATTAATTAAATTAAACCAACTAAAACAATCAGAATAGTGCAAATTGATACTAAGCTCCCGTTTACATATGAACTCTCTGATTTTATCTAGAGCTCTTACCAAAAATAGAAAGAATGAATTGCACGAATTTGTTTGAAGTTTTTAATTAAGCAGTATGCGGTTTTAAAACTTCTGTGATTCGAATAAAATACTTCATGATCGCTTATGATTTTACGAAGCTTTTAATTTTTCCCATAATTAGAGCAAAAATATGCAGTTAATTTCAAATCCTCACTAACCCACCTTAATTATGGTGGAAACAGAAAGTTATTTGGCCTTTTACTGTTTTGGATCAACACAGTGAAAAATATTTGACTATTGTTTGGTAGTTGAAATAACAAATAACATGGGATGTAATTAATTAACGCAGAATTAGCACTGGGAAGCAATATTCTTCTACCGCTTGTCTCCTCGTTGACATAGTATCGATCTGGGACATATCGAAGCACTTTTATTGTCGCATATCGACTTTGAAACAGGAGCTGCAAAGACGCCGATTGATTGAAGAGCTAGACCATTTCATTTTGCTTTGCTTATGCGCGAAATTCAAACCGTTTATCTGGATATTCACCTACTGAATATGGCAATAGATTTTGCTTGTTTTAGGTAGCAGTATCTCCGATATGGGCTTAACTGAAAGCGTCACGGCGATTCCCATTACGGACGCTTCAAATGACGTTACTCTCAATGAAAATACGCAGCCTTATAATCCCAAAATTCAAGGCAGTTTAGTGGAACTTTCTGAATATACGCCTGAAGAAAATTCTAATCAACCTATTAACACTAAGATAATGAATAATGGAGAGGGTTTTGTAGCAAAGGAAGCGGAAAATGAGGTGGAGGAGGAATCTGACATACCTGTCTCAGTTTCTTTATCGTCAGATGAAGGTGGAAGCGATGACGAAATTTCATCAAGCTTCAGTGACAGTTCCAGCTCTTCAAGTGGTAGTTTATCAAGTGATTCCGAGAGCAGTGGAAGTGAGAGTTCCCGGCATCTATCTGCTGTGGAACGACGGAAGTCTTTTGGAGAAAGAGATCCATTTATGGATGAGAATGAGGTTCTTTTTGATGGTGACGAAATAAACATTCCAGTACAAAGAGTTTCCTCTAAGAGGTGAGTTCATTACAGCTAATCATATTCTTTCAATTGAAATGGATTAGAAAATGCTGTTTTGCTCATTCTTTTCAGATATAAGAGAAGTTCAATAAGTCGAAAATCACATACTTCTAACGATGTCGAACTTGTTAAAACTGACTCGATACAGGACTCACCGTCAAATTACTGCTCTAAACAGAGTACATCAGTTCGTAATCGTTGTCAGGACTCGTTGCGTAGTCTGGATGAACATGATCAACATCGTCTTCCTCGATCAGGCTCCCTTCCATCAATTATCTCTCTTAAACTCCATGAAGAGGATCTGGATGAATCAATTGAATCTGGTCTCGAGGCTTCTAAGGCCGATTCGAGCTCTCGAAATAATTCAGTATTATCTCAGAAGATTAAATCTGCACAAAGGCGAAGAATACATGAGGAGGAGGAGGTAAATAAAACTGCTGCAAATCTGGAGGGGACAGACAGTTTGAGTGTGACCAGGTTGTCTGCTCCTGCTGCAGATTCTCGACCTCCAGTTCAAAAGCCCGTAAAATTTACCTCCAGTGCTAAATTAGACATGTTCCTTGCCAATAAAGCTATTGAAGATGAAACGAAAGGAAAAATAGTCTTACAAGATTCCCCTTCTTCACCTCTTCCTAATGGAATACTTCAATCTCCTATTGGAAAGACTTACCTTATCCCAAGAATTCAGACCCAGATTCTTCCTAGACAGGTAGGATTATTATTGTCTCGATTCCCAAAAAACTCATGAATTATTGCCAACTAATTAATCATGGTTAACACTGTAGACAAATTGCAAAATATTTCATATTGATCAAAAGGAAGAGGAGCAACAGAAAGTTGGAATGTCTTCAACGCCACTTAGTCTACCACGTCCTAAGAGTTTAGTGGCTTCTGGTATATCTACGGATTCCATTAGACGAAATTCTGAAATTATTCAGCTGAATGAATCTCAGAAGTTGGCTACGTCATCTATGCCTTACTCACCCTCACAATTTTACTCGGTTGATTCTACTCCACGCACTACTAGGCCAGTTTATAGCCCAGCGTCCTCAAGTAAGTGCGCTGAAGTGTGAGGTAATATTAAATGCATGATTGTTAGTATTGACTGTATTTTGGGGAAGGTGAACTCTCTTCCCCCTTTTAATTACCCAAGAGCAACTGAACCCGATATAGGGTCTAAACTGGGAAGAGATTCAGAGGAAGGCAGGGAAGTGTTGTTTGAACAAGCAAAGGGGAGAGGTTTTTTGGTAAGTTGTATAGGGACTTTTTGCTTCTGAACTCTCCAGTTCTAACGAAAATTTTGCAATTCTCTGAAGTGAAATGAAGAGAAGATTCATATCCACTACTATTAAATCTCCCCAAAACAAGAGAGCATATGTTTGAAATTGGAAGGGTATAAATGAACTAGCACAACAAGTCTCGTGATACATTGAATTACTTCAATATAAAAAAGTATAATAACTTGAACTCTTTTTTATTTATACAAGATGGAATCTCTTTCGATTTCATTTTTTTATAATTGCACTTGATGTGAGCATGAAAATTCGATGGTAATGAGTATAACGGGCACGACAAGATGCTCATTACTATGTAGATTAAATGAATAAGTACTGATAATTTAGTGTCATAAATCAACCTCTTCAGACCTGATTCCACTTGCTATGTGACCGCATTTCCTTAATTATCTTCACTTATGGATGTCATTACGATACATCTTTATTTAATTCAACTCCACTTCTATGGTTCTTATCGAATGTGGCCAATACCTCTAGTTGTATTACATGAAATTAGAGAGAAATTCAAAATTTCAAAATGAAAACTAACTATTTTCTATTCAGACTTCTCCCCGACTTTATGCCGTGTTGATGTCATGTCAGTTCTACTATAAGGTCTATTTAAAGTAAAAGTGTACAAAGTACAATGTACAGTTAATTTATTAAACATCTCTGGTGCTTTTTTGAGTTTCTCTTTAATTCATACAGTGAAAAGTCGATTCAGTGATGCACAAGATGACTTCAGCGAACGATCTCACACTACCAATGGAAGCAGTACCAGCAAACGTTACGTTTTCCCCGATGGCATTGTTTTCCATACGAGTGGATCTTATAACAGCACCTCCATGATAAATATCCCCCCAAGTACCTCCTCTATTCATCGCACTGACGCACGAAGATCTCGACCTAAGATAATTCCCGTTTCATCGACCTCCAAAACAAGAGTGAGTGAGGACTTCTTCATTTTTTTCAATCTACAACAACACCTACATAGAGTGGTTGCATATTCTTACTGTGCATATGCTAGCGTTGGGACTTTTGTAACGACAAGTAATATTTAGTTCAGTTTGAGGTTGCGATAGTGAGTTTAAACCCTCTTATTGTAGTTTCGGAACTGTCGAATTCGCTGCTATTTGCGACTTAGGGGAGGACGCTTCCAACAGCTTCTCTTCGTGCCATATTCGGCATGAAAGGGGTTAGGCTTCAGTTATTTCCATGTTCGAAAACCTTAATATATTCTAAGTTATTTCCTTGTCTGAAATAAGCCAAGAAGGCAGCTTTCCCCTGATTCAAAATTGTGACATTTTTGTGTATTGGGGGGGAGGGGGGATTAAAAGTACAAGTCAAGGGCCACGAGATTGATATATATATGAGCGACCAATCGCACGGCCTGCCAAATGGTTGCGATAGGTTGCAATATTTTAATTATTTCAAGACTTGCTCCAGTGGTCTCGGTATTTTCTTATGCTACTTACATAGGAATAGCAACTTATTCCACTTAAATAAAGAAGATTTGAAGGAAATTTTCAGCCACCTTTCTTGATTCATGAAATAAATTATTTTATTTCCATTTTGGTGTGAAGGTGTAATATCTTCAACTTTCCACTATTTTATGTTTGTTGTTGTTCATAGACGAGGAAATAAATTTAATTTTCGTTGGGAAGAAGGCATTTGCTTACAGGGAGCGGCGAAGTTGTTAAATCAGATTTGTAGAGATAACGATTGAATGAAACTGGAAAAACCATACCTTCAAAACCATATATTTACATCCCGATTAAAACATTTCACTTCGGGGGATTAGTCTATCGCTTCATGTTTCATTGCTCCACAATAAAAATTTCACGTTTTGTTATTTCCCTGAGAGAATTATTAACTGGATCGACACTTTAGATGGCTGAGCAGTCGCCATAATGAGTGCATAATGAGTCAACGTTATGTTAGTTTAAGCCAGTTTAAGTAGCTCAAATTCAACCTTAGCGAACTCCTGAAACAAAATTTATAAGGACATCTCTAACCTGTTTTTACAGTGCAATGTATGAAAGGTTTCTAAATTTTTTTAATTTACCATCAACTATACTTTTATACTCATTGCAAACTAAAATATGTATTAAAAGGACATTTCACATTCCACACTTGGTGATCAAGCAGTTAAAAGTCTCTTTTCCGATTGGCTTTATCTCAATCCATGACTTAGTGCGCACATGCTCACAACTTTAAACCAGAATGCTAGGGCACCTTTGGCATAGTTGTTTAACGTAAATAATAATCAAACTGTCCGACAGAAGGAATTCAGATTGGATTTCGGGTGAACTACTGAAAGTAGTCGATGTGATTCCCGCGGTAAGATTTAAATATATCTTATGCGTTTTTCAGTCCCTTGCACCAAATCACAATTTACAGCCACAATACCGCCATCATCATCATCGCCTTAGCGAAGGAGCAATAACTAGCTTGAATCGCACGGATACAGGCATCAACTTTGAAATTCCAATCCAAGCAAATTTAAATGGAGATGAGAGACCTGTTGAAATTCAAGACACCTCGATGCCAGCTCATAAAAAGTCGATTTTAGCTAATCGTGGTCATCAAACACGACCTAGATCGTTCATGGATATACAACCAACCACTCAGCTATCTCCTCTCACTTCTACGCCAATTGCAAGAAATGGAAGCACAGGAAAGACCGTTTTCAGAACGTCTTCATCTCTCCCACCGATCTCACAAACCTCTTGTTCCCAGGATAATCGAAATAATTGTGCTTTAACTCCAAGTACAAAAGGTAAGTTTCCCATTTATTAAGTAAAAATTGTTAATTTCTCTTTCCCAAATGAATGTCTCATATTTTACTCATGTATTTATTGCCAAGCACATTGTTTTAGTACATATAGGGCATACAAGGAATTAGAATAGCGAATGCTAGTGTCACAGCCACTACTAGCTCGCTTACATTATTCAATCAAACAATGGTACATGTAAAGGTCACCTATTTTTTAAAGCACCAATCTGAAATAAAGCAAGATTTCCATTCTAATAGAATACATTCAATACATCAATCGTAGAGGCTCACCCTGAGAAGCAGATGATTTGATTACTTGTCATGAACAGCAGCAGCCAACTTCTAGTTACTACATATTTTCTTGACTTTAAACCACATCAACGAAAACGCAGTAAGACGTTAAGAATGTTTTCTTTTATATCACTCCAATATTTGCGAGAATTTGTTGGATGGCCAGATAGTCAACTTATTGGTCAGTTTCTTTAGAAAAGAAAGATAAGCTGAGAGCTCACAAGGCTAAATTCTATTCGACATAGTAGTTATTGACTTGTGCTTATCGCCTGATTCTTAAATACCTTGGAGCATCTTATTACAATCGTTAGGTTGGAACTTTGCTCGTCAGATGCCAAACACTTTTGAGCATTTGAATAATTCCTGTACAGTTTTATCTTAGATACTTCTGTAAGTTACATTTTGATCAAAATGTCAATTGACTATGTGCCAAATTACCTTTCGATTGATGCCTGACATGGCTAAGATCAGGGCAAACTAATGGTGAGCAAATAAGAGATTGAATTAACCTGATGCAACATTCCCGAGCGGCACATTTATCTATCCAGTTTCTCAACTGATTTCGAATTAGGCTCAGACCCATAAGGGAGAGAACAAAAGATGATGGGCTAAAGTAGCAAGCAGCATCTGAACTTCGGTTTAAAGACTAATTTCACATGTCGCGTAAGTCACAAATGTCACAATCCTACCTCTCCTAAGTCGTAGAAATCATAGAATTTCGGACCGAACTTTATGGTGACAAGTAGTATCCTACAGGATAGTACGAATATTAATCTGTTCTTTCTTAGTTAAAATTGCTAATGAACAGGTCTTTGTGTCGCATTTTAGTTCGCTACAGGAGTTTCGCCCACAAGGATAAGAAGGTAATATCTTTAAGAAAGTAGTTACTACTGAACGATTGTCAGTAGCGTTGATGCCTTGCAATTCTCTTTTCAATGCTTAGGGTGAGGAAAATGGTTGCGTACATACACGTGCCGGCTCGAGAACACGTTTCAGTACCAGTTTGCAGGTCATCGACGCCGACGAATATGATCGACGATCAGAAAAGACATGGGTCAAACTTACCCCATCAGATAAGGTTAGTAGGCAAGCTCACAACTATTTGTTCAGCTACAAAACAGTCTGTCAAGAGGAAATTTTGTAACTCGTTTAGGCATCTATTCGGGAAGAGCTGAATCTCTACAAGTCAAACGAAATGAAAGTCCATGAAGACAGCCGCCAATTCACCAGGTTTTAACCACAAACATTTTTCCCAGTACTCCCACTTTTGAAATATTGCGAAACTGACAATGTGATTTCAACTTTTTCAGATTTCACCGATGAATAGTGTTTCACCTGTACTAAACCCATAGAGTCGCCGAGTATCTTTCACAATACCATTCGCAGCCATATTTATTTTTACTTTATGATAAAACTACACTGAAGTACGCTCTGCTTTCAAGCCGTGCACACGCAGTGCCTTTCACAAGTAGATGGACCGAAAACTGATATTTGCGATGGGTGCTGAATGAAGGCAAAGGAGTAAGGTGGAGATGTCAATTTCAACATTCAACGCCTCACACTCTCCTCCTCCCTTCCTCCTCAAGTCCTCCTCCTCCTCCTCCTCCTTCTCCTACTTCACCCACCCTCCTTCTCGTGGCTATTACTACTGATATATTGCTACTGTTGTTCTTACTCTCTTTTGTATATGCATTACGTGTATGTCCAGAAAACCCGCTTTTTTCTCTTATCAACTTCAATTGTGCTGGGGGCAAAAAGTTGACAATTGTTTGTTAAGCTGAAGTATTTCAAAACTAAAAACGACTTAGCTGTCTTTCCTTATGCATTTAAAGTGAAAAGGCGTAATGCCATTTCTCCAAGTGAACAGAAAACATCGGGCATATAAGTTCGAGCCCTTTAATGAATAATTATTCGCGAATTAGAGTAAGAAGCTCAGCAAATACCACTGATGGTCAATTCTGATAAGTATGAATTACATTGGGATACAAATGCAAATCATGCAAGAAGGTTAAGCCCGCAACGTTTCGCAGTTGTGGCTCTGAGAGGTATTAAAGAAGTAAAGAAAAGTGAGCTTGCCACTCCACTGTATTCAAATACTATGTTAGTTTACAGTGAACGTAAGTGCCATTCACAACTCAAAGACCTAACTAATCCACATGAAACAAACCGAAGTGCGATGGGCAAAATATGACCGAAGAGCTCTCGTCTCCGAGGAAACAGCTTCTTTATGTTCAGGTATTCGAAAAAAACGTTTCTGCCTTAAGAAGAGTTCTGCATTCCACGCCCTTTAAGTGTGAGCATTGGCAAGCAGTTTTCAAAGGAGGAAGAAAATGTAGACACTTTATCTTCAGCTAATCAAATTATCCCTTGAGGATTAGTAGAGTAAAAAATTGAGCCATTGTAATGGAAATGGGAGAAATACCCGATGAATCATAAGCGTTTGAGGCTGTAAATATTTATTAGTACCAAAATTAACACCAAAAAGACCCAACAAAGACGCAAAAAAGGCAAATCGGTTAGACCGGTTCATCTTGTCTTTCACTGTGTATGTGCTAACTAGATGATACTCGAAACAAAACATTATTTGAAAATTAATTAAATGCAGTCAAGTGAACGAATCATTTGTTCAAGTGAGAAAATGGGGACATTGTATTCGTTTCGCATTTTAGGAAGCGAAACAATTTCATTTACATTGTCAAAATATTAAAGTTCGTTCCCTTTGCAGTTGGGCTATTTTTTAATCAATATTTACTAATTTCTCAATTGTCTCAAAACTATTTATGTCTTGACACTCCTCGTCTTTTCTTTTCTGGGAGCTATTTTCTGCACCTCGGTGTGCGATAGACTTACCTCCACATGGTGCACCCTGGGCAACGTATATTTATACGGCAAAAAAAGTCTCACTTCAAACTACCATCACCCCACTGTATGTCATATTTGGGCAACAGACCCATACGGCAAAAAATCTATTAACCGGCAGTTGACTTCAAACTACCATCACCCCACTGTATGTCATATTCGTCTACTTCCACTTCAAACTACCATCACCCCACTGTATGTCATATTCGAAACTTCAAACTACCATCACCCCACTGTATGTCATATTCGACATCCTTCAAACTACCATCACCCCACTGTATGTCATATTCGACCTCTCAAACTACCATCACCTCACTCTATGCCATATTCGAATATAAAACTACCATCACCCCACTGTATGTCATATTCGACTATTTCCACAGTACTCACCTCACCTTTGTTTTAACTTTGTGTTCGTCTCTTACATCTTTGAAACACTCTTCTGGTCCCCCCCACTCTCGATTTATTTCAATTTGACGTTCCTTCCCTTCTGTGAAGCCTGAAGTCAACTAAAGGGCTAATGATAAATATCATAAAGCCTGCCATTTGATATAAATAAATAAATAAAAAAATTTCTGCAACTAAGGCAGACAATATGAATAAAGGAGATGTGACCCACAACGAATTGTTATTTGAAAAACGATCTTATTATTCGCATCTTCATATGCCTTGCAAATTGGTGAGTTTGATGGGACTCCGTCAGGTATCGCAAACGATGATGATCCTTCTTTGAAGTGGTATGAAGATAAAATCAACACCGAAGACTCCTTTTCCTATGCAAAGTTGTGAAAACCAACCCACCACTTCCTCCGCTCATGGACTTTGCTTCAACATCCTTGCTTCCACAGTATGAGCGACTCCCTTGATATAAAAGCATCCCAGATGGAGTGGTGCAATTTATCATCTTCACTATCATTTGTTCTCATTTTAATGTAAAGCTAATTTCGACAGAGATTGAACCTAACAAGGCATTTTAAATACATCCGTTTGCATTATCATTAATTTGGCAAACAATTATCCATTTAATGTCAAGAGGTGAATAGTCTCTCAAATGTGGA